TGCAGCCGATCGCCGCCTGTGCACCCGTCTCCCCCGGGTGACTCCGCACGAAATGCACTCAAAAAGACTCAAAAGACGATTTGGTGGTCCGAGCATCACATGAAACTCGCTTGGTGGGGATGTCATCCCGGCGGCGAGCATGAATCAGCAGGCCGCAAACGCGCCCCTGAATTGCTGCGAGCTCGGTCGCGTGCGTGTCACACTTATGAGGGTCATCCTTTCACCAAGCAAGCCCTTCGGAAGCAAGGTGTGCACGTCGTCAGCGAAGGCACCACGAGCGATCAAGAGGGTACCCCAAACGAGAAAATCTAAGCGGAGACGCAGCAAGGTACCCAAGCAGTCAGCAGTCCCTGTGCAATGGCCACATTACGGACAGCTGCAGACCCGTGCAGATCAGCAGCATCGATGATGCTCACGAATGCGACAGCCTGACCGCGACAGCATCCCCAATTACAATTGCACGAACCATCATCGCCTTTTGTCAAGAACTCACGCGCGAGCAGCACCACGAGCGACGGGAGCAGCATCCTGACGCAGTCAACTCTGCCCGCGGCGCCAGTGCATGGCTGGGCAGCAGCAGCACGCAACAATTCAGCGCCTCAGCAGGACACACACCAATTCACACATTATCGGGCCGCAGTGGGCAGCCACATGCCCCGTGTGGCGTTTGCATGCACGGTGTATGTGTTGCACACACAAGGGCCATGACCAGCCCACGGACGCATGCTGCCAAGCAAGCAGCACCAGTCGTGCTTGACCTGCAATCCGCAGCGATGTGCGCAACGTTCAGCCAGGTTCATGCACCGACGCGCAGCCCGACGCTGCGGCCATCACGTGCACAGGCTCCCCACCCACTCCACCGCCCCGCCTGTCTTCATGCCGCTGGAGCAGCGAGCTCATTTAAAGAGCCGTGTTACGCAGTAGGCGCAGTAACGCTAGGTTAGGTGTACAGTAGTTAGCTGTTGCCCAGGTTGATGCTCAGCATGCGTGCTTGCGCGCCAACCCTATCCTTCACCACTTCCCTCCAAACGCAGCAGCCGCTGTTGCTCGTCGCGAACAGGTTGCATCAGCCATTCTTCACAGCACCCCACCAATCGGTGTTGAATTATAAGCGTGGGCGCAGGCCGCAAATGCCAACATCTTAGGTTCCCAGAGCAGCCTGATTCCACGCAATGTGCCGTTCTAACTGAAACAGTGGAACACCAGACACCTTGCATGCTGCCAAAAACCTCACCAACAACCTCACCAGACGCCTCGCATGCCGCAAAAATCGTCGCGCCCTCTCTTCATTAGGATCCTCAACTCTAACAAAAAAGAATTGTTTTCCTTCTCACCGGCCGCGGTCGTCCTGCGGCACATTCACAAATTGCGTCGCACACACCTGCCCGCGGCAGCATGAGCAGCGCTCGCATGGGCAGCGCCCTCGCGCGCAAAACTGGGGTGGGGTGCAGGCCAAGGCGGGACAGAAAACAGACAAGAATCGGGCTACGACACAAGCAAAATGTGGAGAGTTTGCACAAGCATAACACTTGTTCCTCAAGGTTGTTTCTCACCCCTGTTTGCAATCTACATGGGAAGCTGAAAATTGCACCAAAGGCTGCCGGCAAAAGAGCACGGCAGCAACACAGGGCTGCGGCAGCTTGCAACGGGGTCAAGGCTGCCCAGGGCGGCAGCCTGTCTCTGTTGCAAGTCACCCCAGCAGCAGAGAGGTGGCACCAGAATCCTGGTGAAATCCTATCATTTGGCTCGTTGCTGCTGCGATCGCGTGGGATTTCAGGTGTCGCGACCAGAGACCGCATCGTGTGCCTGGGAGCACAAGGGTCTGGCTGCGGCACCACGCGCTGCACGCCCCGCCCAGCCGGAGCGTCCAAGGTTCGCGGCCGTCACGCACTCCTGCAGTTTGCGCCGAATGTTGCGCCAGCTGCACGCGCGGCTGCAGACCTCGATAATCACTCATACAATGCCGCCTCCACACCACCGGGAGATCGAAGCAGTTGCTGCAGCCGCTGCGGTGGCAGCAGCAGACCCTCTGGTCAGCAAGGGCACGGCCAGCCGGCCCTGCATAGCAGTGGGCGCGACGCGGCGCCTGGGCATAGCCGGGGGGCGCTTGCACCTAGGCCGCGGCACCAGTGGGCTGCGGGGCTGCGGCCCTGGCGGCCTTGGCGGCTTCGCGCTCCGCCTGCTTCTTCTTCTCGCGCTCCAGGAACTCCTTCATCAGCTCCTGCAGGGCAAAAAGTTCGCGGCGAGAAGATGGACGGCAGGGGATCGCATTCAGCCCTTTTCCACGCGTGTGGTGGGGAGCAACATGGACGCTCCTTGCTTCGCACAGCGTCAAAACAGCCTTGTGGCCTGCCAATTGCGGAAAGTCACCCCTTCCCAATACCCAAAACCTCAACACACACACAGACTCACCCAAACATACACACTTGTGCTTATACACACACACACACACACACACACACACACACATTCACATGTGTGTCGGGCTGCCTGCTGGGCCCCCTTTCCTCGTCCGCGCTGCGTCTCTGCCCACCTTTGCGGCCGACATCTTTGAGAGGATGCCCTTGTAGAGCAGCAGGTCCTTGTTGACAGCCTGGGGGGACGCGCCCACGGCCTGCGGCGTGGATAACAAGGGGTGGGAAAGAGCGGGTGTATGAGGGCAAGCATTGTGGGCGTTGAGAGGCAGCCAGCCGCAGGGTTGGGGCGCTTGTGACACAAGAGACCGGGCAGCCTGCTGCACGTTGCTGCTGGCAAGCGTGCAGGCAATGTGCTGGGGGCAGGCTGAATCGTGAGGCGGGTTGGGCGTCAATTGCACTGAGGGAACTATGCGGCAGGTGGACCGACGTAGGGAGGGGGTTGGGGGGGGGCGCGAGCGGGTGTTGGTGGTGTGTCAAGGATGCGCACCTTGACCAGGCGCTCCAGGGCTGCGGGCTCCTTGGCGCCCGTCAGCTCAAGGAGCCTGCAAAATTGTGGGGTTCGGACGCGTGACAATTCAGGGTATAGGCTTTCACACTGTTCTCGTTGAACGCTCCTGGGGGGGCCGCCCCGGCTGTAAGACGGCTGTGTGCATCTGCCTTGTGAAAGGCCTCGGGGCTCGTGGCGTGTTTTAGTGTCCCTGGAGGCGCCGCAGCCGCGTACACAACCTGGAGTGCTGCTGGTGCACCGAGTCGCTGTGGTCGTCGGCGCTGGCAGCTGCACGCACCCCTTTCGAGTGCTGTGATACTACGACGACCCTTACGGGGCGCTCGTCCGCAGTCAAAAGAGGAGAAGCCGCAACCATACTGCAATCACAGAGAGAACACAGAAAGCAGCACGCGCACCTAAACAGGCCGATAGCCAGGAACTTGTTGTAGGGCAGCCGCTTGGCGGCAGACTGCTCCGCCAGGCGCGCCAGCGCGCGCTGCAGCTCGCCCCCGTCTGCGTCGGGCGTAAGGGCGTCCGCGCCGCCCAGGGCCGCGGCCTCCGACTCCAGTCGCTCCACGTCGGCCTGGAGTGAGGGGCGCCGCGGTTGGGAGGTGTGGCGCGGTGGGTGAAGAAGGGGGGTGGTTGTTTTGCGCAGGGGCTCGCGAGCAGGTTGCACTAAGGGTGCAGGTCCGCTCGATGGTGCTGTGAGCTGCACTCAAGGCAGCGAGCGCGCCCGACCCCCGCCCCGCAGCCGGGCTGTGTGTCCACGTCGAGGCAGCCCGGCGGCGGAGCTGGTTGGCGTGCTGCGCTTTGCGGTCGGCGGTGCCCGTATGGACGAGCACGCCTGCCGACCTCACAGCACGCGAAGCATGCGCGCATTACAACGCCCCAAAACAGGGCAACGTTTGGCATGAACACAGCAGCTACCCACAACGACACCCCCCCCCAATGCCTGTTTCCTTGGCCCGACCGTCCTAGATTGTGCTTTCGAGGCAGCGGCACACCCGCCAAATCGACGCCCCATGCGGCGCATCCCTAGGCCGCACCGCCGCGCGCACCCTGTACTGCCGCGGGTCCTCCCCCAGGGCGGAGATGTAGGCGTCAAACACCTTGGCGCGCTCTGCCTGGTCAAAGCTGTCCAGGACCTGGTCAAACACGCTCACGAAGCCCAGGGCGTACACCTGAGGGGCCGGGTGTGTGGGAAAGGGGGGTGGGGTGGGATCATGTAAAGTCATGTGGTGTGAGGCGGGGGGCGGGCATCAGGTGACAGAGGGCTGGGCGTCGGCTGGCCGGGAGTGGCCCCAAAGTTGTAATCCAGGGGTCACTGCAAATTCAGGGGCAGCACAGTGTTGCGCAAAGAGTGTTGCGAGCGCTTTTCATGGGGGCGTTGCATGACCGCGGCGCTGGTCTGCCGCGGCAGAGCCCGCGGCTAGCGGCAGTGTGGTGCGAATGTGGCAGCTGCCCACTGGAGCGCGTTCGACCGTGCGCACCTCGTTGTACTGGTAGTTGACGTTGTAGCGGATGAAGTGCTGCTGCACCAGCAGCTCCTGCAGCACGACGTTGTAGATCGCGGGGACGGGGCGGCGGTACGCCTCATAGAAACGCAAGCGCGTGTCGGCGACGGTCGGGGGTGCGAGGGCTGCGTGTGGAGAGCAGCATAACAAGGTGCGGTTTTGTGTCGATTTTAAGCCGCCTCCACTGCAACATAGGACCACGACGAGGTCTTGCAACCAAGACAGTACGTGTGGCGGCGGGGCGACGTCAGAATCCGTCACCCAGTCACCACCCGTTTCACAGGGGCCGCGCTGCTCTCATTGCCCGGCCTTCAGGAGCCTCTATCACACTGATCCCACCTGCGGCAACCGACACGGCATGCCGCCTGCTGGCTGAGCGCACGGGCGCCACAGATCGCCTGTGGGGCAAGCGAGAGAGCAATGAAGACAGGATCCAGGGTTCATGCCAATGATGTTGTGGTGTATATGACTTACCTCGAGTCCGAACGCACGCGGACCGCACGCAGGCCGCTGCCGGGGAGGGAGAATGTATGCTGCATGCTGGCCTCAGAGAGTGGGACAGTGAGGAGGTCTATGCGACAGGAAGTGGGCGCAGGAATGATATATTCCTATGAATGAGCAATCGACGGCGGTAAGGTGACCTATAAGCGCTGCCGCATTGACATCACCACTCAAATTTTCTCGGTGCCGACTGCATGCATTCCAGGGCCACAGTTACACCAAGATGATTCAAGTCAATTGTTTTCATGGTCACGGACCCAAACATAGCGTGCAGCCTCGACACAGATCACGGGTAGTGCTGACGGCATTGACCATGCACTTTCAATTTTGCAGGGCAACGCTCAGCACACATGCAAAAGATGGACATCGAATGATTTATTTTTGTTTCTAGCCAGTCGGCACCACGCGTCGCCTTGGCTGCGGCGTGCTGCTTCTGCTGCTACAGTGCGCCCCCGGTTGTGCTGCAACAGGGGAGCACGATCGCCGCCGCACGCGCCACGGCCTGTCAGGCGTCTCCGAAGCCATGGCGGACGACCATGCGGTCGATAACGAGATCAACTTTGAGTCCCTGAAGGCTCTCAAGCAAGTGTTTGATGTGAGGGCACCACCTCAGTGAGGGCCGCTAGGATGGGCGCAACGCAAAAGCTCAACCCAGCTGGATGGCGGCAGGATGGGAGCAGGGGGGGAAGGGGCCGGGGGACTGACTGGGGTTGCCACCTGCGGGTGCAGCCACTTGTGCAGACGCGCCGCCAAAACGAAGTTGCCCAGGCCCGCAGCCCGACATGCGCTCTGCCCAGCCCCTGCGGCTGGGCTGCAGCTGGGCCCCGTGAGGCCCCGTCGCTCAAAAAAAAATTAACAAAGTGAGGGGCGCGGACGAGACAGCGCGCGACCTCCGCGCGTCTGCCGTCTGCGCACCCCGCAGTCTGCTGACGAGGATGGCAGCGGCGAGCTGGACATTGAGGAGTTCTGCGCCAAGCTGGGGCCCCACCTGGGGGCCAACCTGACTAAGCAGCAGGCGCGCTGACGAGGACGGGGCCGCTGACGGGGATGGCGCAGCAGCGGCCTCGCGCCTGTCCCCAAGGAACCGCAAGAAAATGCGGGCCACGGCGCGGGCGGGGCCACCTGCGCGTACAACGCCTGTCCCGCGCGGTCGCGTGCGGCATGGTCCATTGATGGGGCAGTCGGCGCTAGCTGCCTGAGGGCCGTGGCAGGAGGTGGTGGGGATCCCAACATATGATCGCGGCAGCTTCCTATGTTTCAGGCATGTGCTTGAGGAGCCCTTTCCAGCTGTGACCAGCATCTGAAAATAAACCCAACTTCTCATCACATATGAAACGGCTGCGCCAGGTGATGCAGCTGTTTCTCAAGATCGATGCCGATGCCGGCGGCACCGTCGACTGGTGGGCACTGGTGGCGGTGGGGATGGTGGGGGATGTGGTGGTGGTGGTGGTGGTGGTGTATGTGTGTGTTTGTGTGTGTGTGTGTGTGTGTGTGTGTGTGTGTGTGTGTGTGTGTGTCGGGTGGTTGAGGGGAGATCGCGCGTGCTCCTCGCATGCGCTGCGCCGAGCCTCGAGCTCGCCGCACGCAAGGCTTGCTTGACCAAGCTGAGCGGGGCCGCAGCCCTCGCTTACGTACAGAAGGAGGGCACTTGTTGATGCCCCAGCTGCAAAGTCCCTCTCCTCAAACACGTGAACACCGTGCTCGCATCTGCCCGACCATGGACGTGGAGCGTGTTATAGACAAGCCCCTATATCATCCCTGCTCTCCCTCCCTGCCCACTCATCGCTCCAAAGGGATGAGTTCACCAACTTCATGTTCCTCGAGAAGGCGCAGCAGGCCGGGGGCGAGGGCGCAGCGGAGAACTGGAGGCTCTTCCCGCAGGTACGCAAGCGAGCGGGGTCGCGCGTGGCTCGCCCAAGAGGCGCAGCTTGGGTGGAGGGCGCCGCGGGCCGCCCTGGCCTCCCTGTCGCCTGCCAGCACCCGGAGAGGCAGGAGGTGCTGCTGCCCCTCCCTCAAGTGCCACTTGCACTCGTGCACACACGCACGCACACGCGCGCGCAAACACGAGGTCAAGGGTCGCAACATCAACCCCTGCCTGCGACCACGCTCATGTGTGTGCAGGAGTTTCGTGACAAGAATGAGCCCAGCAGCTACCACCACGACCAGGTGTGGCGCAGCCTGCTGGGGTCCAGGGCTCAGGGTTGAGCCAATTCTGGCGGCATGCCGGTGCACGCTACGGCCTGTTTGATTTGTGCATGTGTTTCATGGCCCCCGCAAGTTCGTGCTGCTCGCCAGTGAGGTCGCCACGGGAGGGGCTGGCGGTTGCAGTCGGTGGCTAGGAACAGGGCCTTGGGTCGAGCGGAGTGAAGGTAGCCCTGCGGTGTTAGTCATACCCCACCCCCCTCGCGCGGCTATCTGACAACACTTCCCATCAAATCCCTGCGACCCTGGTCAAACAGGTGGATCGCCTGTACTATGTCTCGCAGGTGCGCTTGATTATGTCCCACAGAACCCCAAAATGCAGTTGTCAATGGTTCATAAGCTCGAACCTGCCTTGATTTCTGTAGCCCTAAAACCGAGGATTCAAGCTGACCCCGCCGCAAACCTCGGCTTGCTGGGACGGCAGTGAGGGGCGGTGCAACATGGCTAAAATGAGTGTCGCAGAGCTGCAAGCCCCTGCTGACGTGCTACACCCTGGCGCCGCGCCCCCCGAATGGCGCAAAGCTCAACCAGGCCGCGGACGCCTTTGTTTTGCCCCCTTGCCACATCCCTCGTCTCCTCACTGCTCATTAGGTTGATAAGTACATCACGTGCGGCAGGGATGGCAGCTTCAGGTCAGCTTCCCGCACGCATGCGCATACTCACGTACACACCTGCAGACGCGTGCACACACCGTGCCCGCCTGCTGTTCTGCAAGCACCCCGTCGATTTCCCACGCCTCAACATGACATTGCCCCTTGCGCCCACCGGTCCCGGCGGCTCATACAATGGATTGCACCCCTCCTCGTTTTCATGTGCATTCAGATTTGCATCCACGCCCACCATATGCTTTGCACCTACCGCAGGCACAACCTGAGGAACCCCCCTGCAGTTACCCCGGCTGCCACATCCCCCCACCCTCTCCCTC